TTATATTTGTCAAAAATTTATCTGTCCTAAAATCTCTCATGCACGTCAGAACCATTTTCCTTTTCAAACTATGCCTCCGATTAATGGGTAACTTGCCAAAACACAAAACATGGCACAAAAAAAAATATTAATTTTAACCTTGCATCTGGATTCAATTCCATTTTTTTAAAACAGCGTTTGGTTTTTTTTTTTTAAAAAACATATTTTCTATTGTATATTCATTAAAAAAAAAAAAGGAGAAATCATTTGTGTTCTACAACTCAATAAAACTTTTTTTTTTATAAAAAAACACAAATTAAAATAGAGCTTTTTTAAAAAAAAAAATTATACATGCATTTATTAAGATGATACATATAATTATAATATGTGAGAAATCACATTCAAATAAAAATATGTACAATTCAACTTGAATTAATAATTTTAAATAAATTGAATTGTTGTATCATTAGAGTAAAGATTAAGAAAGTTTTCATAATAATATATTCTTAAATTTTATATCTATAAGTGAATTTAATGTAGACTTTGGTATACGTAACAGACTATTAATTTATTGAGTCCGTTTAAAATTATTAATTACAGTTAAATAATTATGAGTTTTAATGCATCATATTTAAGTACGAACTTATAATATATGTAAATCTATATTTGTAATTTTTTATTTTATAATAAATAAAATAAAAATTGATAAAAATCAATAATATAAAACACGGTTATGGTCTCCAAATCATGCGTGTATTTTATTTATTTTTTGTTATCCCATCAATAATAAAAATTAATTTTTTCACAATAGATTGTGTATAAATAATAAAAAGAACCAAATTTGGTAAAAATAATTAATATATATAGAAATAAACTCTATATATAGAAGTTTTTCTAAACTTACTTAGTAAGTAACGAGTCTAACGACAAAAATAAATAAATAACCGACTTATTCCAATTGTCCAATAAGAATCCTTCTAATCTAGTAAATTTTTCAAATGTGAGGGATCATTTAGTTATTTCATAGCAACTTAAAGAAAAATGCAAATTCGAATAGAATTAACACAAAAAAATGATGAGGGACTAATTTGTTTGGACCCTGCAGCACGAAAGAGGCCAAAACGAAACTCAGGCGATTTTGCCTTCACATTCTTGGCACTCTACTCTTTCTTCTTCTAGAATATTCACACAAATTCGCATGCCCAACTTACAAATCAGGTCTCTCCTTTGCCTTATAGATTCGTTCTTGTAATTTTCTTTCATATATAATCTCTTTTTTGTTTGATTTGTTATATTATATCCTGTAGGGAAGAATTTGAATGAATTTATGAGGAGTGAAAGTTAAGTAAAAATTCAATCAAAATAAATATGATGAAATCTACCCCAAGATAATAAAAAACAATCTCATAAAGACATCAAAATTTTTAACGTGGAAAATACTTTTAATGTGAAGGATAAAAACCACAGGATCTCTCTTTATCCAAGTAAAAAGAACTCCATTATAAAAATTAGTGTTTACAGTAATAATAAACAACAACTATAATTCTCAAACAAATATTCAACAACAAATCAACTAAACAATAAAAAATAAACAAATGATTGGAAAAATATCACCAAAGTAGCTATTGTTAATGCGAAACGGATGCATTCTCATTGTTTAAATTCAATCTTTACTGTTCAAATTAAAAAAAAAACTTATCCCAAACATGCTCACTAAATTTCAGCCACATCAGACCACAAATGACTGTCCGATCATCAGAGAAAATCAAAATGATCGGTACAGGAAAGAAAAATGTAACCAGTAACTTCAAACTAAAAGTACCGAAAATTCAATTATCGAAAATCGATATCCACCGTCAGAATGAAGAACAATGAGTTTTCTAAATACTTACCAAATTTCAGCCTGATCTGATAAAGATCACTGCCTAATCATGGAAAGAAGTAAAACATATTGGATATAATTTTTCTAGCAATTTTTTTTTTTGTTCTCTTTTTGTTTTGGTGGCTAAAAATTTGTTTTTATACTATTTTTTAAGGTTAAAGTGGTATACAAAAAAAATAAAAACTTAATAATCCTAATGAGTCAAAAAATTAAGTGAACCCAAAAAATATTTGGGTTTTTTCACATAGGAGGGAACCCAAAACCCAACATATCCAATATAATAACATAATTCTTTTAACTGTGTTTGCAATTTCATTGCCTGAACAGATATGGCTTATCAAATTTCTACTAATGTCGGTGATGAAGTGTAACGGCCCC